AAATTAGAAATGTATTTAGGAGGTTTCAGAGATTACACAAATGATTTTTAGATGAAGAAAAGTATTTTTAATCTTAACATGAAAAATCACTTTGCACACGGACTATTCAAAACAAATACTCAATATATTTAAGGACAAATCTTTTTTTCAGTTTATTAAAAAACATCACTAAAAATATGATTTTTTTGTATGTGAAAGGATTATAATGTTAACTGAAAGACTGTCAAATTTCATGAAGATATACATCAAAAGTTTGTAGTATCAAGTTTATAAATGCTTTATACAAGTACAAAAATGTCATGTAGTTGGTCAAATTGATCTAGCCTGTGTGGAGAAAGTTAAGTGGGGTATAAAAGACTGGACCAAGTATGAAAAATTAGACCAATGCTTAAATGTGCAAAGGAAGGATACCATAGCAGTCAAGTAATAGTTGTAGTGTGAGAGGGGGTAAGTATGTTTTGGAATTCTCATGTTATATTAGTTAGCCCATTCTGGTTTCCCCTCTTGAAAATAAGAAAGATATCCCATATAAAATACCACTTTTGAAATATTCCATAGAACATTTATGAAAGCTCAAACACACAAGTAATGAAATATTCTGTAGAATATTTATGAAAGCTCAAACACACACAAGTAATTCAATATATGCTATGAATTGACTTACTTTCTTTCAGAAGAAGTCTGACACAAACATACCAACATCATTATTACAAACAAGATAATGAAATATGAAGACAGGTTTAAAAATTTGGACATTTTACTTAGAAGATAGGTGTTGAAATCATTTGAGACTTAGATAATCTTACTTTTGATGGTTTGTTTAAATCTTACATTAAAAATTATAAATGTAAAATTAAATCTTACAGGTTATAAATTTATAACTTGTAAGCCTAGATTCAGAAACACCCTGCAACAAAATTATTTCACAGTTACAGTTTGTATGTTTGCTAGTTTATAATAAGATTTGAAGGTCTACAAATAGTTTTGGCTTTGGTGAATCGAAGTGATGTTGATGGTTATCACTGCTTTATTTTTCTTACATTAGCAAAAATAAATACCTCCATGAACAATCAGTTCATCCTTAATCTCCTTCACCAGATGCTTTGGTGTAATATACTCCTTGCCATCAACTGTGAAGATTACTTCAATTAATTTCTGCTCCAGTAGCTTCTTCACAATCTCTACACAGTTTCTTTCAGACAACCTAACAAAAATATTATGTAAAATTTATAAAATACTTAAATTAACTACAACCAGTTCTTCTAAATCAACACAAACTCAGGACATCAACATTTTTTTTAAACTAAACATATTAGTTAATTTTTTCTCAAAGTATGTGCATTCTTTTAGACAACCTAACAAAAATATTATGTAAAATTTATAAAATACTTAAATTAACTACTACCAGTTCTTCTAAATCAACACAAACTCAAGACATCAACATTTTTTTTAAAACTAAACATATTAGTTAATTTTTTCTCAAAGTATATGCATTGCAGAGTTGGACTTTTCTTGTAAACTTCTACTGCAGTTCTTGTAGTTGAAATGTTTAACTCTACAACGAGTCCTTTTCACAGATTTTTCACATGAATTAGAACCATTCATAAGAACTCTTATGCTTTAAATAACTTTTGAACAATAAAACATTTTCCCTCTATAAAGTATAAACATAATATCTACATATATAAAATTTATATGTATCTTACAAATAATATGTAAGCCATTTTGGATGAGGTGCAACTCCAATGAACAAAAATACCTTCCTTTCACCATACTTTTTCTTTAGAAGTTAATACATAATTTTTAAGAAAGTCCAAACTAGACTTTGTACAAGAGAAACAGTGGTACTTAAAAAAAAAAGAAATGCCCAAAATGTTCAGCTGAGTGTTTGGCTATGGTGATGAAAATAGTTATTTCACAGGCATTTAGACGAAACCTCTCCACCAATAGGATAATGACACATCCTCCATGTGTAGAACTCACTTTGTGTATACTAGGAGTGGGGAGGTACGATGGATAATTGAATATCTATTTGAAATACATTTTCAAGTAAGAACAGAACACAATACTCTCCTCTCCATAGACCAGATAGGTTGAATCTCACATCACAAAAATGATGGAAGGACTGATGTAGTGAAATTTAAAAACATTCAGTTCCTTTCTGAGAATATAGGGACAGAAATGGAAAACTCAAGTGTATCTTCTACCAGGGAGGTGAGCTCAGTTGTAGCATTACTCAGTGGGAGAACTCATCCATCTCGAGCAGGGCATACTCTGTCCAATACAAGTGGTTGTGCACAAAAAGGTTCTGTTAAAAGAATATCCTGCATGGTGCTAAATTGTTACAAACGTGGGTCGAATGTGAAGGCTTCTTAACCATCCTGTACACCTCACAAAGTCAGCATACCTATATTAAATGCAGCTATGGTAATATATCATGTTGTATGACATTAACAAAAATGAAACCTTGACGCGGCCACGCTGCTTTAACATAAACTATTCTAACAGTCAAGGAAGAGTCTTTTTAAGTTTTTTTAGTATTGAAATCGAATGAGACAGAGAAACCTTTAACCTTTTCATAAGCATGAAAAAATTGATTGGAACCATTTAGAAATTACTTGACAGATTCCATCATGTCAGGATTTGTTCGATCACCAGGATTGCAGTTGGTAAAGATATTATCTTGCTGCAAACATCATTCATGAAGAAATGTGAATTAAGCGTGCTCCAAGGAAGTTATTGATGGATCCTATAAAGGTCACAATCTAGAGTTCATGATCATTCACCATCTTAAGGTCAAAGGTCAAACAGTCTTATTCTCCAGCCAATACCACTTGATTATAAATATGAATAAGCCCAAAACTTTCGAATGTAATTAATGTTAAAGTAAATGCAAAACATTAGAGCACTTATTATAGTCGGGTCGAGCGTGACCTAATAGTTTGTGTTTTGGACAGGGGATCTTAGGGTCTCACTTTCGAGACGTGGAGCTACCAAACACTCTTCACCCTTTCAGCTATAGAACTGATATAAAGCTGATAATTATTCTCGCTATTTGGTGTGTGTGTGTGTGTCCGGCGTTCGATTCTCCGCTGTGGACACAGTAAATAACCAAATGTGTCTTTGCTTTAAAACAAACAAACTATTTGGTGTGGGCTGCCATCTCTAGGCCATAGTTCAAACTTAGGAATGGTTATGTGTGAGCCACAGAAGTTTCTGGTCTGGTCGTTTAGTTCATTGTTTGAATAATATATTTTTCAAGTGAACAAACAGTTTATCTTACTTAGCAACCACGAAACAGTTTTCTAGTGTATGAGGTGAAAAATGACAAAGAATTCTTAGATGTTGTTTATAAAGTACAGATACAAATCTACTATGTAAAGCAAAGAGTGTGTCCGGGAAAACAAGAGGAAATCCTCAATAGCTGCAGCACTTGAAATTCTTTTAGGTAGTATTAGAGTAAATTAATCTATGGGACCCTTTTTTTCCTTTTTATTAGCTATATTTTTGTGCGCCAGCAATATCAAGTGCGGGGTGCGCGTATACTCGATTCGATTTTATTACTCATCAGGATCTCTACCATACTACCCTCAAATTGAAATTCTTTAAGGCAGGATTAAAGTATATCAATGTGTGAGACCTTGGGCATGATCGAGTACATCAATCGAAAGGGTTTGACCTGTTGAGTCCAAAACTGTAATTTGATCATAAATCGGTCAAGAGGTGACGGTATTATGAGCTAAAGGTTTGTACTTGAAGAAAAAAAACTTAGAGCCGTTCTATGAGCCACTATGCTGTGGCTAAAAATAAATGGTCGTTTATCTATCATTTCATATCTGTTCCTTATACACTTCCACACGTCTTGTTCTTGATCAATCAGCACCAAACTTGACACAGTTATATAGGATGGCATGAGGAAGGTCTTGAAGGGGGTTGGGATTGGAACCCCTATCTTCTGTATAAATAAACATCAATATATGTGTGTATCAGTTCATTATACAGTCATACAGGATAGTAGTTAGGGCCCCATTCCCACGTCCAAAGGATGCCACCTGATGCTGATTGGCTGCCTAGGGGGGGCATCAAAGATGAAAACGCCATAGTTCCAACAATTACCACCAGGGATGCATCGTTAAGGACGTGTTGCTAGGTCACTATGACAGACGGCCATGATGAATGATTACATAATAGTACCACAAAATAGAGAACGTGTTTCTAGGCAGCCATGACTCGTACAATAAATGTCTTAACATGAATATAATTAATCATTAATTTGACAGTTAATTAAATCATTTATAATTAAATCATCATAAAAAAGGACGCTTAAGACTAATTAAATAAATCACTTATAATTAATTCATTAAATCATTTATAATTATTTCATCCTAAAAAGGATGATTAACACTAATTAATTAAATCACTCATAATTAATTAATTAAATCATTTATAATTAATTTGTCTTAAAAGGATGCTTAACACTAATTAATTTATAATTAATTAGTCCTACAAGGGCAATACAATAATTAAAACTTACTCAATCAAGTGATTAAAGATTTTCAGTACTACTTTATCAGTTATTTACATTTCCTGTCCTAAAAGGACTATATCTTACTCAATCTGACACATACAATACATAACTATAGGTTTAAATTGCCATAAAAAGGGTGATATCATACAATAATTAAAACTTATATTTTTACTAATTTGACTTTATACAACGAAATAAATTACACATGCTACTTTATTTAACACGAGTTTTACAAAGGCGGACTTTCACATATGTATATACTTAATTACCATTATTTTAACAACTGTCCTTAGGATTTTAACACATATACTATGGCAGTACTTCTACAAGTCATCAAGGTCTAGATTTAATTATGTTATAACCATTATTTTACATATTTTAACATCTGTAATAAAAATAATAAATGAATGACTTACTACTTATCTGTCCATTTTCTATATAGCCATCGATTACTGGCAAACTAAACAAATCTTGTGAAAGTATGGAATACATTACTTCTTTCAATGTTCTTTAGGACACTTAATATATTGCTTTCACAAATCATACACAACTAATAATCGCCCTACAACTAAATATAATAAATGAACAACTTATAATTACTATTAATTAAAATACCAGAACTTTCAGACTGTCTTAGACACTATCAGGAAATTTCACATACACAAGTGGCTTAGATTTGGTTGATCATACTTATTGTTTCTATTATAAGTTCACAAAACTAACGAACCAACTCCAACTGATGTCAAACTTGTTAAACCTTGACACTGTTTATCTTTATTTCACATGCATACAATTTGGACACAGACTTTTAAGAATTACAAAGGTCACCAAGTGGTCACACACACATAGAGCACACAAACCAACTAAGGAAATACTGACGTCATTATCGTCTGTACTTCAAATAACCTGAGAAGAGAGGATGGTCACAGTGTGATGTGTTTGATATTCAAGTCTACTGGCTGTCTTGGTTAAGAAAATGTGAACATTTAGAAAAACCATGGGATTAGAATGACGAAGTCTATTTTGCAATAATTGGCTAGCAATTCCAAGGACCAAGTGATTATACTTTTTGTTAACATGTATTATACAATTCAATGTTTATCATATATTAATATACATACAATACATCAGTTACTATAATCATTATATAAAATTAATAATAGACTCTACATAAGATTAATATTCACTTTACAAATCGCTAAATACATTCAGTTAGACTGTAATTATAATACAATATCTATAAACAATATATCTAATAATGAACTCTACATATATACATCATTCTTTAATTAGTTTTACTGAAACTTAAAAGTCAGCAAACATAGTTCTTTACATAATGTTTAAATGAATATTTTATTACTCAGTATATAATAATCTATGCTGAGTAATAAAATAACAGTATATAATAATCTATGCTGTACCAGAAAACTAATAGAGTGTTTCAGTCCACTTAGAACAAAATGAAAGTTCTATTCTACTTAATTAACTGTGTGACATCTACAATATATGCAATATTTATGGAAAACTTTTATTAAAATAAAAGTTAATTATAACACACTCTCGCTATCTATGTATTTACAATATATTTAAAATAGATGGTTCACTTTACAAAACTGTAAATATGTAGTGACACATATCAGTTAAATATAATTTTTGTATTCAATTATACTGTAAGT